CTGTTCAGGATGCAGGTTTACTCTCTTATTGCCAAACAGAAACAACACACACGGGAGCAGTGTTTAAGGGCAGTCATGCTCTCGACTAATGCACATCAACTGCTTCGCTTTGCATCAGACACACCAACAGTCTCTGGGGTTAGGACAGGAAAATGGGAGACCGTGTTATTCTTTTTTTTTTGTTTTTTACTCGTTCACAGCTTAGACCTGTTACAGCTCTTAAGTTCATGTAGACTACATATTCAAAAAAAAAAGCAACTGGATGCCTTGTTAGTTTGTGGCCAGACTAACCTGTATCTGTGGAAATAGTCAAAGAAACTGCATGGGATGACAGACGACTTAATGTTTATTTACTGATGTAGAAAACTATTAGCTAGCGATGACAGAGGAGAAAGTCACTGGTCTAAACTGTCATAGATATATTACTCCAATATTGTTTACAAATGCATCTTTAAATATATAAAAATCTCAGTCCTTCACCGCTAATTTCTGATATTCCTTCGTGAAATACTTGCACAATTGCAGTATATTTTGAGTCAAAGACATAGCCATAAAGATTATGGCACAGTTAACGTGTTACCACACTTATTTTATTTTATTTATTTTTTTATTAAAAATGCATTTTTATTTATTTATTCATTTTGTTGTAATGTTGTTATCTTGCAGTTTAACACGATAAACAATACTTTTTACCACACCGAGGAAGTTCCAGCTAATAACGAGCTGAGGATGAACTGCTCATCAGAAACATACGAACACCAATGTGGTATACCTTTTCTTCTGTAAGACACACAATCCAACTCGCACAATATACTCTTGTCTTCTATAAGAAAAATTCCCAGTATATAGCTCCAATTAGACAGGAAACAAGCAGTTGCCGGCTGAAATGGCTTCTAACGTTTGCAAAGGTTAAGCGAGTTGAAGCGGAAAGAAATGTCACAACCACCGTAGAGTCCTTCTGCTGATGTAAAAGAACTACTTTGCCAGAAAAACAAAAAAAAAAAACAAAAACAAACACAAGTACCAATTTATTTCTGGTTCCAGGTCGAGCTCACTGACCTCTCTCGCAGCAGAGGTGACTGACCTCGGATGATGTTTCCACTGCCACAGGAATGCACAGATAGGCTGCAGACTTTTTTTTTTTACAAACGCACGAGTTCAATACGCTAATCAAACAAGGCACGGAAACAAGAGTGGAAATAGAACAATATAAGACCACAAATATGATGATGATGATGATGATGTGAAATATCCACTAGAGCCAGCAACAGATTCTAGCGTCCCATCAGCTGGTTGTCTGACTGCGAAGGTCACAACCAGCGTGTCCTGCTCTCATTCCTAACTTCCTACTTGCACGGTCATCATGTTCAGCTCTGTTTTCTTACTGACCTCCGTGGTTCTTGTTAGATCAAGCCTTTTTTTTTTTTTTTTTTTTTTTAATTGTTATTTTTGGTCTGATCTGAAGTAGTTTTATCGTCTGATGCCGACCGCAGAGGGAAGCTCCTTGCTCACGGAGACAGGAAGTGCAGAAGCATGCCTGCTAATTTTAGATAACTGTGGATAGATGATTGCTTTTAATACACACTCACGGAGTAAAAAAGTTAACCGTGAAGACCTCAACATTTTTGCAGCTATTTAATATAGATATGAGGTCACAGTGTACTTCCGTGGACAGTGTTTTACTGCAAAAAAAAAAATAATAATAATAATAATTTTAGTTTGCATGTAATTTCTCTGGGATAAGCTCAGTGTTCACCATTAATTTTATCTTTTGATCCCTGACAGGTTTTCTAAGGGTTTACGATTATTCAAGCAAGCAATGTTTCTGCTGGTCAGAGCAGAAAGTCTCCAGGGTCAGATAACGGTTATGGCGAATTTGTTTGAGACTCCAAAGCAGAACTGCCTCACAGAGAAAGGTGCAGCCGGCTCGTCGCGCATCGGTTCACCCGGACAGCTGGGGGAGATTCCTGTCATAACAGAGTGGTTGCACTCCACTGTCGCCACATGCTTTGCTACAAAAAGGGATCACTGCAACGTCACACTCCTTTGTTCAAATAAATGCAGCAAATGTGGTGTAATGCGACCTGCCGGATCTGACTTCATTTCTCATAGGTTTGATTTTGGTGATTCAGAAGAATCCTTAAAGACTTAAACAGGCAGCCAAGTAAAACATGGAAACCCCCCTGCATGTATTTTACTACCAACTTTCTCCGTGTTATTGAGCTCAACGAGGGCAACGGCAAAAAGGTTTCATTGCAGAAAGCATTTGAAGAACGACACATTTCCTTCTGCAGTTTCAGACAGTTTAGGTGAAGCTGAAGGTTTTTACTTCCAGTATTACATCAGTTTGTTTGTTGAAAGCGACAAGTAAAAATACAAAAAAAAAAAAAAAAAAAAAAAAACAAGAAAAGAAGTGTGTTTCAGCAGGTATTGAATGGTGTCTTTAGGTTGGAGGGTTTTTTTTCTGTTAGATGGGGTTGATAACTCTCGTGTTACATTTACTGTAAATCAGAAAATAAATTTATGCTGACTAGTCCAGTAGGAGCCTGGACTAGTTAGGGATTAACTATTACATTTTTTTCTTCTTTTGTTGATTAAAATAAAACTGACAGTGATTTATTGCAAAAAAGCATTTAACTCCACTTTTATACCAGTAACTTACTGTGAACTCTTTACATTTTTCAAATGAGACAAGAGCCTAAAGGTTCTTTGAAGTCACATAAAGCGCTTGACTATTTTTGAGGTCAGACTTAAGTGATCTGCATCTATAATAGATGAAGACAGTTTTCTATTGCAGGTAAGATATTGACTGCTCATAACCTCCTAAGAACTTCACTTTCAGACAGGGTGTTGTGACTAAAACATTGCCAAACATTTTCCTGGAAAACTTGGGAACAATAGCGCTTACTTCCTGCAAATCCCAGTGGTCATGGCTTAGACATGCCTTCTTTTTCCTAACTAATGGCACCAATATCACCAATATGTGATCATATGTTCCCCAACAATCTGCATTCTGGCAGCAAACCTGATAATTGATGCCTAAACAGCACCATCAGTCTGCTCACATACCTCAAGCTGTATTTTATGCTGAGCTTCATCAATAATACAGATGATAAGCAGAAATTATGCCAAACATTCAAAAATTTAATCTGCTGGTTTACGGATTATGAATTTCAAAAAGGACTTTAGATTTTTTTTTAACATCTTTTACTTTTTTCTCATTTAGATGAAAATGGCCATCAAAGGTCTCCGTGGTAACAGGCTGTGCCTTGCATAACATACTGTATATGCAGGATGTGTAAAGAAATTAAATACCAAAACTAACAAACATTTACTGAGGAACGACAGCTGCTGCCGTCACTGGCTTTAAATCCTGTTCCTTCATTAGCTGCATTTCCATTCGTCATAAGATTACGCAAATTGAAAATAAATTAGCTTCATAGAAATTCTCCAATTAAGATAAAATGTTTTTGTTCTAGGATGAGATGATTTTTTTGGCCGTTTCCAAATAGATGTATTTCACAAAACTGCGATGGAAACAGGCGGATGTTACTGCCACGGTATCCTACAACGTCCGGCTGACTCCAGAGTTCTCATAGCATCATAGTTCATAAAAAGTTGAGTTTCATTCCAAAGTGTTAAATCCATAGATCTTCTGTAAAATCACCAACTACAATTTCTCCAAAATGCTGCAAACGTAGCCGTTCCGAGTAGGCGGGGCATGTCGCTCTGACGCCTGAATCAGACGCCGACGTCTCCTCTGATTGGCCGATACATGTTGAGCGAATTTTGAATACATTTCATTTAACGGTTTGACCAGGACTTTTAACAACTTAACGCGTGAACAAACTTATTCCCGTACAATTCAAACTGAATTCCTTACTTGACAGAAACACCGCAATTGCGAAATTGTGTGTGTGTGTGTGTGTGTTTTTCACCGACATCAGCAGAATAGCCACAAAGATTTCCACACATTCGGAATGGAAACCGCAGCTTCTGAATGTGTGACTAAACTACGTGGATCCACGCGCGTCATCCCAGTTTATGGATTAGCAGTTCTGAACAGCCTACATGGGGGGTTAGTCAAAGCAGCATACTTTTAATACATGTTTTATCTCCATGTAATAATTCACACATTCAAAGTTGCTCAAGTCATATATATATATATATATATGTATGCCAACTACATTGAAATAGACAGCATAATTTGCTCAAGAGGATACTGTGTTCAATTTTACAATATGTTGTTACAGAGATTTATTTATTTATTTACTTTTTAAATGTGACCCATGAGTAAAAGGTGCCCTTAAACAAAATCTTTCAGCTCTGGAAGAGTAGCCACTGAGTGCCAACCACCAATAAATAAATACATCATGCCCTCCACTCCCCCCATTCTTCTTCTTCTTGGGAACATACACAAGCCAGACTACTGTGACTAAACTTTGGGGCCAACCACACTCAGCACTGCAATTCTTTGGAGAACCTCAGACATTGGAGGATAAAAAAAAGAAAAGAAAAGTGGGGGAGCTGTTGAGGATGTGGTTAACATGAAGCGTTACCAGAGGTAGAAATTCATGCCCCAATTCAAACAAGATATTGCCGGCATCAGTCACACTGTCTTTGTTCTTTGATGACTGAGAAGCAGGGGAAAAAAAAAAAGAAAAAAAAAAAAAAAAGCAATCATGGCAGCCTGGAGGGAAAAAAAAGAAATTGATAAATATGCAAAGTTTTCCCCAGAGGGTGGAAGATGCAGAGATTGCAGCAGGTAATGATGGATGATAGCTTGGAGCCGGGAGTGTCTAGAGCTTGGACGAGTATGAGTTATCGGCTAAAATCTTTAGTCCTTTTCAAAAAGCACGGGGATAATGTTGTCTTATAAAAAAGCAAAAAACAAACCAAAAAAAAAAAAAAACAGCGTCAGGTTTGATTGAACCTGACAAAAGTTGCAGTCAATGTTTGCCACCGTGAATCTGGAGCGCAGTCAAAACAGGCCTCTCAAGCTCTGCAGTCTCACTGTGGTGTGCAGGTCCGTGTTTGTCGTTCACCTTTGAACACCAACAGATGAAAAAAAAGAGAGAGAAGAGCACAGCCCTGGGGAGGAGAATGTGGAGAAAGGTGTTAGAGAAGTACAGAAGGTCAATCTCTTTTCTTTGCCCAGCTTTCATGCAGGACACCATGTTTAAATAAAAGTAAAAACTCACAAAATATGCTGGCGCACTCTAACTTGCAGAGCTTTACACTTCTGCAGGGATGTTCAGCGCATTTCTGGAAAAGGACAACAGGGCGAATGTTAAACGGCGTCCAGGCAAAAACATCTCGCTGTTAAACCTCTGACATTTTGTTATGTCAGAACCACAAACCTTCATGAATGTTATTGGAATTTTTGTTTGTGCGTAAGCAACACAAATTCATCCGTAGTCGTGAAATGGAAGATAAAACAAAACTGCATGAGACTTTCAAAACATCCTCAGGCGTAAAACTCTTTCACTCCGATACCTCTAAAAACATCAATCGAATTGAACTCGTAAATCACCAGATTAGCAAGTAGAATTTGATTGCCACCCAAAAACTTAGAGTTTTATGGAAGGATCAAAAGAAAGCCACTCTAAAAACTGTAAAAAACAAAACAACCTCCCCCCCCCCCAGAAAAAACAGAAAACAAACAAAAAACTCATAAAATGATTAATGGAACCAATGGAGGCTGGAAACGACTTGACAGTTTGGAGGTTTGCCCTCCAATAGGACAACACTAGACATACATTCAGAGCAACAGCAGAATGAGCAGCTCAAAGAATATTCATTGTGAGGTAGAATGCTCAAGTTAAAGTCTAAAGGAGAATTTGGAGGCTTGAAGATTGCTGCTTAGAGAGACGTTGCACAGGCTACATGGATGAGCCGGAGCAGTTTAGAAAATGTCATGTCAAGTACAATTTTTTTCCTGATTTTTATTAGTAAACTGAACATCACACTACATCATTTTGCTTCCACATCACAGTGGTGTGGTGCTTTGTCAGTATATCACATGAAATCCCATTAAAAGCAGTAAGGATTGAGGTTGAAACATTGTAAAATGTAAAAACATTTAAGAGTTGTGAATACTTTAGCTAGGTGCTGTACGTGAAACTCGGTTTAAAAATAATTTACTCCACTTTATTCAACTTTCATTAAAGTGTTTCTGCAGATGGTGACGGGAGTGGGCAGTGTGTTCACTGCTCCACTGAATGCTTTAACCCTCATTGTGTGAAAGCGGCGTGACCACTGTACGTAAAACAACAAAGAAGATCTTAATGTATCTGGATGAGTCGCTAACGTCGTCTAAACGCGGCATTTTTTTCTCTTTGAAAATTAGACATATTCTAATTTCACCGTTCTGTGCGTCATGCGCTGGTCTCAGGTGATGCTTCCTTGTGACTGACTGTCCATGGCAGATTTACTGGAGAAACCGTAGCCTTGAGATTCAGATGACACTGTTTTCATTTCCCTGCTGGAAGAGTTTGGCTTGCATTCAGAGCCAGCCATGCACAGCACGGGCGTGAGAAAGGAAATCTGCCACAATTCTGAAGCGACTGAGCAACGAGTCTGATTTTTGAATGTTGGCAATTTATCATTAATTACATTGTTTCAAAGGGTAGTGCTACTTAACTGGTGCTAGTATCAAGGGTAAAGGAAAGAAGAGATTGTTTTACAGCTCTTGAAAAAATTGAGAGCCCACTGCACTGAGCCTCACTGAGAACCTCCTGGTTCCACCAAATGTTGATTTCTGAACTCTTCCAGTAGTAAAACATGAGTATTGTTGTTTCTAAATGAATGTGAACTTGTTTTCTTTGCATTAATTGAGATCTGAAAGCGCTGCATCATAACCACAAATATGGTCCTCACCTGAGATTTCTCCTTTAAGGGATCTAATCTAATAACTATGTTATGTTCAGATGGTATGAAATTGCTGTATATACCAAAAATAACTTAAAAAAATGTTGACTTCACATCATGCCTAAATCTGATGACTTGAAGTAGGCCTCAGTCTCTTTAAAAACCTCCAACCCTTTACAACACTCCACCACAACAGAGTTTCTCCATGTTGCTTCCAACAGTTCTTAGCAGTGCTGTAGTTTACATGATAAGCTCAGCTAATTGCTAATTGCTGCTGGCACTAGTCTGTAGGAGCTGGTGGGAGTCGCTGTGGAGCGCTTCCCTTAGTGCAGCTCAATCATATTTAGTTCTACAACATCCAAAATCGAGTGTTAAGTGTCTTTCTGAAAGTTTTGTTTGGCACACCCTTAACTGCAACTGCACTGAAAGATGCTATGAGCTGAATTATGAACAAGTCATATAAAAACAAAGTTCAGACAAGCTAACGCTAGCTTCCTGCTTTGGCAAAAGTGTTTTCCTGCTGGATTAAACATTGACAGCAGAAGCAAGATATGAGTTTATTGAAGAAGGTGGAGTATTTGCACTTGCATTTTTAATGTTATATTGAGATACTGTTTTTCTGTTTAAAATTAGTAGGAAATTCTAAAACTAGTGTATTATTTAATTAAATGGAAGAAAATACGATATAAAAACTATTCAGTTTTGGTAGTACCCTACATACTTCTGACATATCATACCATTTAACTGGCTGTGATGATATATTACACTTACTGCGAGGGTTGAGGTGGGGAAGTCAAGTAAAGGTGAGGGCTTTAAAAATTCAATGCAAATTCTCAAAGCTCAAACAGCTGAAGCACTGCAGTCCAGATTTACTGTCCTTCTTATGATTTGAAGTTCCATGACCTTTCATTGTGTAATTGTATAGTAACCCTGCTTTTGGACAAAGTCCCAGTTCTTTCAAGAAACTACCACTTCACAGTTTTTACAGTGCATATCGCTCGTTTAAGAGCACACCTGCTTCTTATCAAGTTATATGACTCTGTGGTTTGTGTTTCCACTTCTTTCTTGTTCACTGCAGATTTTTCTATCCTCAGAAGTTAGAATAATCGAGTCCAGACCCCATGTCATTGATGACAAGAGATTAAACAAAATACAAAAAGAACACAAATAACAATTATGTTGTTAATTGCATTCATTTGCAAGATGCACAAGCTGTGGAAAACGACAGAAGCAGCTTACTTTTCTGACGTTTCACCGGCTGGCTGAGGTGCCATCGGCTCTGTAAAGCTTTCTTCTTCTCCACGATTTGATCGAGGATGCTCTACGTTCCTTCTTGACCTGACCTGCAAAGGGTTAAAAAAAATTATAATAATGTGCCAAACACTCACTAGACTCTTTAGCGTCGGCGAAAAGTTGAAAGGCTGCCGATGGTTATAATAAATACTGTGGAAAAAAGAAACAACTATCTTCCGACATCACCATAAAACCCCCAGAGAAACAGGTTTTATCTCTGGAGCGACTCGTGAAGTTTTATGACCTTGTGTCAGGGGTTAAACGTTAGCTCACCTTCCACACAAGCAGGAAGATTAGGGCCAGCAGTGGGATAAACAGTAAGGAGAAAAGGCTTTTCTCCACCACCTGGCGAAGGGGACTTGGCGATGAAGCTGGAATGGAAAAACAGAAAAAAAAGAAAAAGGAAAACTCATAAACCTTTTGCCTCTAGTCAGTACTGGATTTGACATACAGTAGATAAAGAAATCAATTAGTGCCTTTTTTTTTATTGTACAATCGCCCTGTGTGAAATTGTCAAAATGTTCCTTCTGTTAGAGCAAAAATCAGCTAAAACTGTTGCTGTAGAACCACCGTTAGACATCTGGTGTGATGTGGCATCTGGAACCAACCAGTCTGCAGCAGATCTATTAACTTAGATAGATCTGCTAAATTAATAGAAGTGCCATTTAGGTTCCAAGTAGCTGGAACCTGAATGGCACTTTCTCATTTGTCCAGTGAATGTCTCAGATCCTCAGAGCTCTGAAGAAATAGAGAATTTGGTAGACCAAGTTAACACCTACAAAACTGAGGCACTGCTGTTATCTCGTGTCGTTTCGTCATTGGTTTTCGCCTCGTCCTTGCGACCTGGTAGAGCAGATTTTTCAAGCTAACTACTACAGTAAGCTATATTGTAAGCAACAGGGTTTTTTGTTGATGTTCAACTAAAACACTGGTGGATGACTAGGGGATATTTTCAGTAGTCCAACATGTACAGCTTAGCTGACGATAAAGGTAAAGATGAGTCTTTGGTTTTCATTATAAACAACATTAATTTATCTTGTTTATGTTGTGTTTTTTACAGGTTTCCACAGAGATCTTTTCTGAGCAAAAATGTAGGATGTAAAAAACTCCCTAAAGTCGATAGTAAAAAGTTGAAACTGTGCATTTATGTATCATGCTATTCATCCAACACACTGTTGTATTTCTGCCCAGGGTTTTATTTAAGGCATAGATCAAGGTATCTGATACTCAAATTCAAAAGTACTTTATTAACTTCAAAAGGAAGATAGATGTTGTTGTAACTCATTAATTCTTTAAAGAGTTATTGTACATGGTGATTGCACATGGTGATTGCTGCTGGCAGGAAAGATCTCTTGTAGCCGTCTGTATTGCAGTAAATCTCAAAAAGCCTCTGACTGAAAATACTCTGCCTTCCCAAGACAGTCTCATGAAGATGATAGGTCAGGGTTGTCTATAATTTTCCTTGATTTTATGAAGAATCCTTCTTTGCATCATTATCTCCAGAGGTTCCAAAGTCATGAAGCCAAATTTAATTTGATCTCTTGCTAATCCAGGCTGCTATGCATGTTTTTGTATGTAGGTAAAAAAGATGCCATGCAGTTTATGGAATACACAGACAACACTGCATTTGATTTAAAAAAAAGTTATAGCAATAGCCCAACGATTATGTTGCTTAATGTCATGCTATGTTATGCAGACGCTTTGTCTGCAGTGATGAAGATAAATTCACCTCCAGTGGAACTTCGCTACTTTCTTAGGTTTTCCCAAATTGACACTATCTGTCCCAAATCTTTACCTCTCCCAGATTCTTAAAATTTTTCATGACTACAGAAACCAGTCATTCCTTTGCTACATTGCAAAATCCCCCCAGGTGCCACGGAAACAACTTTAACTGAACTTAGCTACCACAGACTTTCTATTCATCCACAGCTGTGGGAGAAGAAAGGCTAAAAGGAGATCATGTGAAGAACACAAAGCAATATTTATACAACAAATACATGTCAAACCAACTCCCTCGCAGTGGTTACATTCTGATATGTGAGCAAAATTCCTCCCAATTCAGAGCAAACGTACACCATTAAAAGAGTCCTAATAAAGTCAGCCTGCAAGCACGACTGGAATGTGTGGAGATGTTTGAATAGGAGAATTGCTGCTGCTAATGTGAAAAAAAAAAAACCTGAAAAAATTTTGCATAACACTGTTGTAACTAAAATATGGATCATAATACCCAACCACTGAGGAAAGTTGAACACCATTCTAAAAGCTAAAAGCTAAAAGCTAACCTAACCAGATTGGAATTAAGTGCTTTTGGGATTGTTTGGTCGGGTGACCAAACAATCCCAAAAGCACTTAATTCCAATCTGGGCAGTTTTCTGGGATGAAACCTTGAAAACCCTTGAATCATTTTTGTTTCTACAGTTGTACAAAATCACAGGCCAAGAGTAAGTTCATGAAGAAAAAGTTGGTCTATCGAAAAGTTAATAAGAGACTTTACCTGATGAGCGCGCTATTTCTTTAGTAGAGATACTGAGTGACGTGTCTTGGCCTGACGTATACTGAGCTGAAAACAAGAAGATAAAAAAAAGGGAGTTCAGGAGACAGCGACAAAAACTGAAGACAAAAGACTGACAGAGTGAAGCATAACTGTCTGATGATGAAAACATTCATTGTTAGGTAGTAAATAGTCACTTCAGAGGTACTCTTTTTATCCCTCCCCCAAACAACACACAAAAACATCTGATCTGGTGGCAAAAAAAAAGAAAAAAAAAAAAAGAAAAGCACTTTGGAAAGATTGGAAGATTGCTCTGTAATCAACACGTATACAATCAGGTTTCAGCCCTTTTCTTCCTTTTAAACACCGCGCTACCTTGGGACATCTTCCCTTAGTCCTGTGACTCAGCCGTGTCTCAATGGGCATTCTAAGCACTGAGGCCAGTCCTGAGTTTTTATCTTGCTGAGTTCTTGTGTGGAAATAATGGTGGCAGATTAAAAGCTTCTCCTAAAAAGCCACAAGAGATCTGCCCTAAATACAGCTCGCTCACAATGCTCCATACCAGGTGGCAGCAGTTTCACAATCGTAAGCAAAGCAGGAGCACGGCTTGCTGCTGGTTAGGATTTGGAGATTAGCTTCAGAGACAGTGGAAATGGAAAGTTCCCTTCAGTGGTTCCGGCGAGATCCCAAAGGTTTTCAGCCAGTTTGTACATTTTGTCAATTTGTTGTGATTTTTTTTTTATTTTTTATATGAAGGCAAAGCAGTTTTAGGACCCAAAAGGGGGGTCCATTTTGGAAGGGCTGTTGGTCTTTGTGCAACAAGCCCCCCAAAAGCATGTAAAAAAAAAAAAGAAAAAAAAGAAATTCACACAAAATGTACTTGTACTCCCAAACTAGTTTTATACCATTCAATTTAATAACAAATTGTTCAAGCTTTATGCATGTAATAACTAGTAACTAGCATTTATTTGAGTAACTTTTTTCCCCCTTCATTTTAGCATTTAAAATACCAGAATTAGCTGATTTCTAAGTTTATAAGCTGACATTATTTTAAAATATTCAATCAGGTAGTCTGGTCAGTTACTCAGTACTTGAGTAGCATTTTCACCAAATATTATTTTCTGCTCCTACTTAATGATACCTAAGTAACTAATAGGATGGCTACTTTTTATTTCACTTGAGTGAAGACATGTTGAAGTAGTGAATTGAAATTTTTGGGTGGTCTAACCTCAAAAGGATAGACCTTTTCTATTTTAATTGTTTAATTGTCTCACAATTAAACAAGTCTAAAAACCAAAACACATGGAGAGTCAATATGAACAGGGGTATTTTTGCAAATTTCACAGATTCCTCTGTCATAAGAGGAACATGACAGAGCTCGTAGAGCTCTTGAACTATTTCTAACATAAAC